CGTTAACACAAGATTAAAGCACATGTGCTACGGTCTCTTAAACTATCTTATTGTAAGTAGTAAAATGTCACTTGTCCCAGCCACGATTTTCTCCTGTATTTCCTCTTTTGGACGGAAATTCTCAGTAGCATCAAAGTGAAATGTCTTATTTTTACCTCGTATGGTTTAAAGACATTGTCATGAGTTACGGAATCCCTCAGGCGGTGAAAGCTAGAAAGGCTTAGATATTTCATCCAAGAATCGACATAAAACTTTACCACAATGCAAAGAATACATCCATTAAGAAAAAAAAAGCTTTTTAGGACTCCTTTAGGACTGTTTTGAGGTGATATCCTAATATCCTTAATTATAAGTGAATCAAGTGTACTTACAAGTTATCAAGTCTATCAGCAAAGTGGATGTAGCTGTGTAACTCAGTCTCCAACACACTAAACAATCCCTGCATGACTTTCCTAGAGAGAAAATAAGGAGCAAGGAGAAAATTTCAGACACAACGAAGGCAGTGAATTTTAAAGAGCTCGCTCACAGTTTCAGCTGAGGAAAACACATAAAAGTTTCGGAGAACATCTCGAAGTTAACCTCCTTTGGGCTCGTCACGCAATCTTCGAGGAAGATTACGTGACGAGCATAGGAGGTCTGCGTAGGAGCTCGATGTGGAAGTTTTCAAACCAATCACTTTTGTTCCCATTTTACGTCGCGAAGAGACTGGGAATGAATACTGGTAAGACGGGACGCGCGAGGTGTGATGGATGAACACATTTGCGCTCACCAGTCCTCGCGCGCCACGCATTCTTTTGCTTCTCTTCAGATGTCTTTGGAGTCTTTTTCAATCGGAAGATTTATCAAAAAGTTGAGACTGTGAAAGAGCTCTGATATTTAGCTCTCAAGTATTAATCGCATTGCCATTAACATGCCAGGACGGTTTTCAATTGAGTGTCGTAAAACCGAAACCAAACCAATTATTTACCAATTGGACTACTCAGCCAATCTCAAACTGTAGTAAAACCAAAACCAAAAGCAAAAGCAAAACCAAAGTAATCGTCTAATTACTTTTGACACTTAACTGAAAACCGCTCTAACAGTGCTAGTTTTAAAGCGTGCATATTACACTAGACATAGTTTTACGTGATTTATTTTATCGTGCAATTTAAGACTTTACTCAGAATTTATTCGTTTTACAATTTAAACTTTGGCAGACTGGCTACACGAACGCTTTAACGATTACAAATTCGATTTAACATTGTCCGGTGCCATGTTTATATTTTATGCTTAGGTGATATAGGTGATAGCCAATGTTTAACACTCAGTTTACTTTTAACCTATAAGCGGCAGTGCTGTGGTTTAATGTACTCAACATACTTCATGTCTTCTCGGTTTTTATTGATCCGCTGTTTTCTTTTTCTGGAGGAGTAACAGTTAGCTGAAAGTTAATTTTCTCATTTATAACCCTTTCAAACCTAAGAATTGCCAAGTTGAAGACTGAAAAAAAAAGACACATCGGTGACGGATAAATACTGCAGAACAAACAGTTTTGGTTGGTGTTTAAGTGCTATAGTCAATAATTATTTTGAGTTTTTTTTCGATTTAAGGTAATATTGTACCTAGCATGCAAAGATGACTTCAGTCCTCTAATTGGTATTCTGACCGAAGTCAGCTCAGCTGAACTGCTTAGGCCCCGTCAACATTCAGCTGGAGAAATTTGAAAATGCAGCTTCATTTCTACGGTTAGGCCTACCGTCCACACTAATCTGTCACGAAAACGGAGCACTTCGAAAACGCTCTTCAAACCAGTGGAATTTGAAAACGTCGGTTTTGCGTTTTAATGTGGACTGAAAACATTTTGAAAACGGAGCTTTTCGTAAACGATAACGTTGCGATAATCATGTGATTTCCCTGCCGCCGAGTTATCCTCAAACACAAATCCAAAACGACCGGTGATTGTTGCGTTTTCAAATTTCTCCGGCGTAGTGTGGACGGGAAACATTTGATGCGTTTTCAGAGTGAAACCACCGTTTTCAAATTCCTTCGGTGTAGTGTGAACACGACCTCAATTTCTGACTGCTGGACGGTGCGAACACTTCTGTGAATGGTTGAAACTTTAGCTTATTCCACTCTAGAAATACTGGCTGAAGGCTTTACAGAAGAAAGGGCAAAAGAGTATAGAGTCTTTCCGAGAAGGATGTTCTATATAGTACTATACAACGTTGATTACCTGACTTCTTCGTTCAATGGTGTTCTCTCTTTCACGTCCCTAAAACGAAAAGAACATCACAGTAGTTTTAAAACAAAGAATACCAACTTATGGGTGAAATATTTGTAGCATAGCCGCAGTAAAATGTTAAGTTTAACAGGAGTGAAATTGTTGTTAATGCCATTTATGCTCGTTGCTATGCTTACGTGCAGTCAGTAGGCTTTGGCGATGATGCTTTGCTAAACATGGCTCCATCAGACGAGTCCATATTCGTTGAATCTGAGGGCTAAAACAAAGGAAGAAGAAACATCAAATGAAGACAGAGGAAGTGAAAAATAACGTCCGTACAGAATTGACACGACGAAGCACTTCACCTACATGTATCAAAGAATTCTCACATATTTAAAGGAGCTACGTCACAGCTTGTGCATCGTGAAAAGCTTAGCCTAAATTTCTCAAGTTCGTCGTTTGTAATCCGTGTTAATCTTCTCCATCCTTAACCACCCAGGTTCCTCTATGGTTTATTAGTATCTCTTTGGTGTTTTTCTATCTTAGTAAACGGCTATTTTCAGAGTTCCTTTTAACACGGCCAAAAATATTAAAAGAAACCCTGACTTAGCTCCTTTAAGGAAACCAAAGAACAGATGACATCCAAAGTCAAAGAATACAAATTGAATACAGTCCACAATATGCCCACAAACACACACCTCGGGTTCGTCTAAAGTAAAGTCGAAAAACTTTTGCACAAATTCCTGCTCAGCTGTGCAAACTGGCTCTAACTCCAAAAGAAGAATATCGAACACCTGATGAGAACAAATTATAACAGTTACTAAAGTGAAGAAGGAATAAGAGCAAACTGTACAAAAAAGTGTATGCGTTTACACGTCTGTCGACCGTGTTTGTGCCTTATTGTAATACCGATCAAGGAAAGAAAAACAAGCAACAAGATCTAATTAAAACTTCATTACAAACTCGCAGTCGAGCTGACTATTCGCTGAAAGGAGCGCGAGACGTCCGTGTGTTTTAGTGGACACTCTGAAGAACTGCAGTAAAGGAGCTACGTCACGATTTGCGCATCTTAAAAAAGTTTTTAATCCGTGTCAATCTTCTCCATCCTTAACCATCCTTGTTCCTTTATGGTTTATTATTATCTCTTTGGTGTTTTTCTATCCTAGTAAGCTATTATTTTCAGGTTTCCTTCAATATTTAAATGTAATTTTGTTTGTGGCCAAAATAACTCAAAATACCGCGACTGAGCTGCTTTAAGAGTGACTCGTGACGTGCGCGATTGTGATCGTGATTGTGCTCTGTGAGCGAAAAGACAACAACAGGATAACCTTTTAAGTTTTCGGATTTCACACTGTTGCAGCAATGGGAAAACCTATCATATTGTCAGATTTCCTTTCCTTAGGAAACACTGAGTGTCAACGAATCCAAGTAAAGAAACCTTTTCAAATTTTCCTCTGCCCTCCTGCAGCTGGTCAGATGAATCCACTGAACTCATGGAGCCTGATCGAGATCTTGTATCTGAACCAATAGAATCAGTGTCCTTTCTCTCGACGGGCTCTCCCTTTCCTTTCCTGAATGAGCCGGTCTTTATGCGGGGGCTGGGACGAGGGCTCGCTCTCGGGTCATCACGGTTGACGGCAGATGAGGAGCCTGTCATCTTGAAGGCGGTGTAAGCTAAGGAATCCCACAAACATCACGGTTAGAATTGGAGAAAATTGACTCACATGTTGACTGGCTATTCAAGGGAAGATTAGAGAACTGCAATAAGAACAAGCAAAGCGAAACTTGGCTCTGAAATATAAAGAACCACTTACGGCGAACTCCTTTAGTCAAAGCCCTCTGTTTTGCAGCTTCAAAGAAATCCCTCAGCTCCTTTTCATATACTTTGCTCAGAGACTGAGTGTAGGCCTAAGAATGTGATGTACATTCAGAAATATTAGTGTTGAGTTTTTGGAAGATTCTGGGCTTCCATGTTGAGACCATGCAGGAATGAAAATGTTCATTTTCGCGCCATGTACATGTAAGGGCTCCGGAGAGCACCAGATCACATTTATAATGCAATTTAAAAAAGCTCTTTTTCGGTATCCCCCATGTTAATTTTTCGATTATTAGTTCTAGGTTTTAGATCTAAAATCCCCGACAAAAGTAGTTGGGACAGTTGAGCTGGATTACGAATCCCCCATCCCCCCTAATCAATGTTGGAAAATGTCGCGTCTTTTTTAACAAAAAGGGAAAAAAATCACCTGATTATCAACATT